GTATAATATAGTATAAATAAAATAGTAAAATATTGATCTATGTATTATTTATAGCTTGTGGTTTGACAAACAAACACAATCGTATTGTCGGAGGCGTTGAGACGATTGTTAATCAGTATCCTTGGATGGCCCTATTGATGTACAGAGGACAATTTTATTGTGGTGGTACAGTCATAAATTCACGATATGTGTTAACGGCCGCTCATTGCATTGACAGGTGATTCATCTGTTCATTTCGATTTTTGATCATCATTGAATATGTGTGTATACGCGTATGTGCAAAACGATAATTAATTAGATTCTTCTTGATAGATTCGATGCGAATAAATTGATTGTCCGAATATTGGAACATGACCGCAACTTGACCGGTGAAAGCAAAACGCAGGATTTTCAAGTGGAAAAAACAATCAAACACAGTGGTTACTCTACTACCAATTACGACAGTGATATTGCACTCCTTAAGCTAAGGAATGCTATCACGTTCGAAGGTTTGATGCGACCTGCTTGTCTCCCAGAACAAGGTATCTTTTAGTTTACGTATTCATATATATGTATATAAATGTCGTTAATTTTATTGAAAAATAATTTTATTTGTTAAAAGTGAGATACCACGAATCTTAGATCTTTTAGATTTTTAGAAAGTAGATTTTTAAATAATTTTTAAACAATTTAAATTTATTCGAATGTGTGATAGATTACGAATTTATTATCTGTTTTCAGGAAAAACCTTCGCCGGCGAAAAAGGCATAGTGACCGGATGGGGTGCCGTCAAGGAAGGTGGCTCGGTATCGCAATCTTTACAGGAAGTAGTTGTTCCTATTCTTACAAACAAAGAATGCCGCGCTACGAAATACCCATCGCGCAGGATAACAGATAATATGCTATGTGCGGGTTTCAAGGAAGGCGGCAAGGATTCGTGTCAAGTAAGCAAAAAGTCGTATTCATTTTAAATTACCGAATTAAGGAAATAATGTTAAGTAGATAAATATTTAAACTGTTTATTTTAAATAAATAGAACATAAATTTTATAGCGTATGTTTTAAAATATAAAATTTTAATTAAATTATGAAAATAATGTGTGGACACAATATGGAAATAATTATAATAAAAATACGATAAATAATAAATGAAACAGATAAAAATGTTAATAGAATATTTGTCCAGCATGTATTTTTAATGAATGTAAAATATTGTAAATTTTAAAGAAAGAATTACAATGTAAATTCTTACATTATCACATTATAGGGGGACAGCGGTGGTCCGTTGCACATAGAAAAAAATAGTGTTCACCAGGTAGTTGGTAAGTTTAACTTTAAATTGTGTTAGTTATTTAATAATACAGGCGATATGTGTAAAACTTAAAGAAACTGTAAAAAAAATACTTTACAGAAAACTTGGAAAATTACTTTTAGAGAAACGAAAGAAAAAAGGTAAATAAATTTTAAAAACTCTAAATTTGCAGGGGTAGTATCCTGGGGCGAGGGATGCGCGCAACCCGGATATCCTGGGGTTTATACCAGAGTAAACCGATTCCTTTCATGGATTGCAAGCAACACGAAAGATGGTTGCTATTGCTGATATGCAATTTTAATATAGACTGACATATTTATTTTAGTTAATTTATTCATATAATGACGGAAAATGTACAAGTTACAGAAACAATCAATGAAGCGCACAATGAAACATACATTAACAATTCGTATTGGCATTATACAATCAAGAATTCATTGCCTCGTGACACGCTAATTATTTAACACATATATTAATTTACTTCTATTACGTACGTAAGTGTACGTAATGTTTCACGATAGCATGCATATATGATATTATACGAGATTCTATGACATTTTACTATAACATCATGTATGATATGTAAATTGCGCACACAATGCTGTGTACACAATGATTAAAAATTAAGGCACGTCCGTCGCTCTTCACTTTGGTCAATATTCACAATATAGAATGTGTACTTAGGAGAAAGAAGTGACAAGACTTTCTATGTTTTTCGTAATCGGACAACTTGGAATTTCGGTGAAAACTCGTTATCTATTTGCAATATTGCTTACACCACGCAATGAATTAGTAATGTAAAATATATGCACGTCGTGTACATCTTGTTATTGATATATGTATATTAATAAGACATTTATAATTAATTTAAGTCCAATATATGTGTAATAATTTTTTAATGACAATTATCTTTTATAAAACTTGAATAATTTTGTTTATTGTACACGATCAAGGCCTGTATATATTAAGGAATAGATAGTCAACAACTTAGTTCTTTTTTACCAAATGAAACATACATTTTTATAACAATTATACTATATGGGTTTTATTTATTTATTTTAATATTAAGGATTTATATACGAGTGGCTAAAAGACTTTTAATTACTGCGTTTTCATCGTCTGAATTAATTTCTTCTTTCATTTTGTTATTTGCCGCTGATTGCAACCAGTACGTCTCCATTTCTCCCTTTCCCTTTACATAATAAATAATATATAATTTTCTATACATATATATGATAAGTGACATTATTAATCAATGAAGATTTTCATAATACGAACCTTTACCCAGACAACTCCACGTGATTCGGTATGATAATGACCTTTTGGTAACAGAGCTTTGGTGCTAGAAGAAATGTGCACCTTTCCTGGCTACACCATACAATTCAGTTAAATAATGCAAAAATATTAGATTACAGAAAAGGGAAGATAAAAACTGATTTTTATAAATGTTTATAAATCTTTTTTCAAATATAAATCGAAACTGTCATAATAAATGCAATTTACGTCATGCGTAATTGATATAACGATAACTTATTGAACGTCAGTTTAGATATTTGGCTTCTTTTTATAAAAAATGATTGAATTATGAATATTAACTTTTTTAGTCATTACTTCTTACGACGAAAAAGTAATATAAGAATAAAAATCAATCCATACCGGATGAAATGATCCTAGATCGTATATTATATTTAGATTAGATATTATATTCAATGTTATTTATTTGAAAGATAAGATAGCTATATTACCAGACTAGTGGTTTGCATTCTGGAGGCCGTATTAACAGTATCTCCGAAGAAACAGTATCTCGGTACTTTGAGACCGACCACACCGGCAACCGCTGGCCCAGAATGAATCCCTGAGAAGTTTTAAGATAAATACTATTATCTCAGTTCGTTTCTTATGCATTCGTTGCGTTGCGTGTAATACGATCGTCAGTCTTGCATGAAGATAAAATTATTCGACGCGTCGAGAAAAAGAAACGAAGCCATATCTCAAAAGACACAAGGGAATATATTATGTTTGAGCAATTGAACGACTGGGTATAGGATGGTTACCTATGCGGATTCGTATATCCAGTCCGGAGGGTAATTTGAGAGATCGGACATGCTCGATGAGTTGTAGAGAAACGTCGGCGACGTTCTGTGCATGGTTTTCATTTCTGTCCGGTGCTCCGCTAGCTGCCATGTACACGCGACCAACGGTCTCCACCTGTCACATTATTGTAAATAGCAAATGATACTTACAATTACACATGCAATGCGATCGACGACGTCATATAATAGCTCAGATAAACATTATCTTCGTGACTCGTAATATTTTCAGACGTAATAAAATGTCTCCATAACAAATGTTTTTGTTTATGCAATCAAATTAAAATCTTACATTATCTGAAATGGAATGATATATGAAATTTCTAACAAAATGAATAATCTTACTTTATACACGTTAAACTGATCCATTAGCGTATCGAAACAAGAAAAAACGGCGTTCATTGATAAGACGATGTCCATCGCTCCCTCGATGGTCGAATAATCAAAGTCACATAATTCACAGAAAAGAACCGTTATTGATTCAAATGACTGTAAATGAAATATTTTCAAGTAGTTATTAGACAGGATGAAATAGATCGAAATTTGCGAAGTCTGTTTGCGCACCTCGCAAGTGCTCAACGGACTGGCCCCGGCTCGCAATCGATCTGCCACCGTTTGCGGAATCATAGAATATAAAAGCTCGTCGCTCTTGTTCTTCCAGCGATCCAGTAATGCATAGCTATTTTCTAGTTCAATCGATCTTTGCTCTGCCCTCTCGAACATCATTTCCAATCTGCAAATAAATAATACAGATATCCGAAAAATTGTACAAAGTGTATTCAATTTTAGGTAACATAATTTTTTTCCATCATTTGAGAACATGACTAGAAGTTGTACCTTCCGCAATGTTGCCATCCTGCCAACACCAGTTCTTTGCTCAAACCGTGAGGATTTAGATCATTCAGATACAGACCCATATTGAGAAGTTCGTCTAAACTGTTGATTCTATTGCAACAAGACAATCGATTACAAATGAGTTATCCTATGGGAAATGTAATTATGATGACATCGGGAACTTACAAAGGACTACAGAGAAATATAATAGCTTTAATATCTTCAATATGCCTCATTTGACCTTTTAACAAAATACTTCGTGCACCTTGACTCCCACGCCTATCTAAACTACTGCTTGTGCTTGGCATTTCATCTGAATTTATCGAAGAATCATGATCGCTTGCCCTGATGAGTTCCAATTCGAATATCACTGAATGCAAATATATTACCTGAAAATATAACGTTTATAAGTATATCTGCACGTTGTATTTATGTACATATGTACATCTATACGACAATTGAAAATGTTATCATAATTTATAAAACTAACGTTGCGACTTCCAAAATATAATTTTTATTACTTACGTTTCCCCATGTAAACGAAATTCCTTTCGGTCTTCTTAATTTGAATATTTCAATAACATGCTTGTTCAAAATGGACGTGGTGCCACCCCATGCTTCAAGTAATTTATCACCAACTCCTAGTATTCGCATGTCCTTGTTCATTATGACACCAAACGGAAAAAGACGTAAGAAAAATGTGCAAGATACAGGTGGCAATTCAAGATCTAGTGGTGCTTTCATTCTATTGGTCTTCGCAATCTAATTCCCAATGTAAATTGTAGCGTTAAAAATGGAATGTTAAGCAAAATTTTATATATTACTTATATATGTATACTATATATATTATTAATTCTATCTAAATTAAAAAAAAAATACAAAATATATATTTTTGATAAAAAGTTAAATTAATTATTGAAATTTAAACTTACGTATTCACGGTTATCGAAATTAATACGAAATTTAACCATCACATTTCGAGATCCTGGAATATTATTTGAAGTTTCCAATACTTTAATATCCAGTTCTGTATTATATAATTCTTTTGCTATTTGAAATAATTGTCCTAAAAAGAAAGAGTATTATGTATGTAATAGAAAATATATTAGATAAAATGTAGTTAAACTAAAGAATTACTGATTATATATAATATCTATATTTTTCTTCTTTCATATGTATGAAAGTTTTGATAATAGCAACACATAATTTTTTTTCTCGTATTTATAATGTAAGAAGAAAGAATAAACTCTTACCCATAAAATAATGCGTGAAACCTTGTCGAGTACTTCTGTAAACTAAAACAACACCTTGTGAATCTACATGCGTTGTATACATGGAAGGACTCTTCATTTTTGGATACGTGAATCTCATTTGCATGTGAATGTTGTCTACGCTTTGTAAAAAATCACAAAAATAACGACCAGTTGCTTTCACAGTGCAGTCGTACCTAACAAAATAAAGTAAGCATTATATGTAAATTGCATTAATTTTCATGTAAATTGTATAAGTATTTTCGAAATAGATGATACACAAGTAATTATAATTAAACTAATCGATTGGACTAACACGTATATTAAACCTCCATGCATATTTTCCTAAGTTCTATATCTCGGTTTCTGTCGCATCAATTTTCCGCGATTGTAAAGTGTACGTGTAATTGAACATATGAAACTGGAGCGCTCAAATATCGAATGCTGGGATGAAAAGAATTTCGTAAAATAAATATTCAAGAATCGGTCATAAAGCCTTTTAAATTATAAATTATACTTTAATGGAAAAAGAAGCACATGTGTAATAAAAAGAATTATTCTTTTTATTTATTAAATATTAACTTTTAAGTACACATTATTCTTAGTAACATATATAGTTACAGGTGGGATCTGCAGGGATCCCCACAAGTTTTTTGTTTTCTCTAAAAGTAATGTAAGTTTTAGAGTACATAATAAATAAAACACATAACTGATATCTCGCATAACTGAGAAAATACGTAAAAATAGCTATCCAGCCAGATCCGCCCGTGTAGTTAAAGGTTAATAGATATATTCGGGTAATACATCAACTAACTATTAAAAATGCATGAAAAAATTAATTACTCATTTATCATTAATATAAGGGATACTTATATTGCGATTAACTTTATGGCCGAAATTAACGATATTTCCAGTGGCGATTAATTATATTTCAAAAATTATATAGAACTGTTGATACAATTTTTGTTTTACGTTTTTTAAAGGTAGAACTTACCCTAAATTACTGAAAAATCTAACGAAGCACTTTCCAAAAAATTGCATAACATTATCCATGGAATCATTAGTACATGCGGCAAGAGCCGTAGCTAAATTAGTCATTAGCTCATCTGGATATATTTGTCTTGTATTAAAAACCATGTGTTTGCAATCAGCTTTCTCCAGAATCCGAAGCCATACTTCTTCGCCAAATTCTAACTGCAAAAAATATTTTTAGTTTTCTGTCTATTATATATTTATTCCTAACTTATTACTAGTAAAATTACGAGTAACATTTAATGTATTATTAAAAATTATATATGAATGCTAGGTAGGTAATTATAAATGGAAAATAAATATCTGTTGTACATAGTGTCCCACTCTTTATTCACCTCCATATCTTTGCTATTTCAAGTAATAGAAAAAACGGATAGCTTATAGAAAACATTGAATTTCTCTAAGTTTCTTCATTTAAATAAGGAATATTTTAACTTAATTGTTCTTCGAATAGAAATTTCATATGGATAACTTTCAATGAAAGACTTAACGATACTGAAATGTGGAAAGTTCAACACTCTTATTTCATAGAATTATCTACCGATTTCTTTACATCCGAAATAATAAGTCTAGCTTTGATCATGTAAGTATAAGAATAGATAGATAAAGCCGAAATTTCTAAAATGTTTTTTCGTATATTATTTGAAATTTCAGAGAGATACATATATATAAGGTGGACAGAGTTGTGGAACATTCTGTAATAAAAGCTATAATATATTAAAATAATAAGTTAATATTTATTTATATTTTTCTCAACTAAGACTTTCAAAATAAAATTCAATGTAAATAAAAAATATAATATAATGCATATAAGCTGAACGTAAAGTATTATTTGTTAAAGAGAAATATCTGTGATAATATCCTCGTTACGTGCCAGACGATAGGTTCTACGGATCAGTTATAAATCGATTGGGATAATCAAACCAATTTCCTAGTTCCCTTACGTCAATTAATGTTTCTTTTATTATGAGTACGACAGGCGGTCACGAAAATGAATATGTGATCTTTAATGAGAAAGGCTCTTAGGAACCATATCGCAAATGAACACGCAAATTATAGATTGAAACGACCCAATGAACAATTAGCTATATACATTTCAATATTTTTAAAGTATTTTTATTGTAATATAAACGTGTATGTTTAAAATTTTAAGCAAAATTTAAAGAATTATTATAAATAATTTGATTTTTATAAAAAATACACACTAAAAAATACATCAAAATAAAGAAAATTAGTATCTATAATAATTAACGTTATAATACATAATCCATTTTAATTAATAATTATTAGAGAGTTTTGTATTATTAACTGATGAAACTGATAATACTGTTATTATGCATTGTATATCTAACAATAAAGTACTATTAAAGAAATATTTCTGTGTAACCGAAGTTATACTTTATGTAAAAAAATAATGTAGAAGAGTATTAAAGCAAAGTATATAATTACAAATTAACACATTAACACATTAAAAGTGGCATATAAGAGGAAGCAAGATATTATCAAAACAAATCAATAAAGTCGACCTTATATGATGTTAGAATGAGATGCTATTTTTAAAACTTTGTACAATTAAGGCGTCAGAGACTAAAAGGAAGTCTTTTAAATGCATTCATATTCAAGTACCTCGTTTACTACGTACCTACCTACGAAACGTTTCCTTCGTAAGTACGTGACACACATTACAAGTATATAGATCGCTTCGCGACGATTCTCAAGAAACAAACAAAACATATGAAATTAATTAATGTGATGATATCAAAGTTGTAATATCGATACCAATATCGATAAACAAAACACTTAATACTTATTTAAAACATTGACATGCATAAATAATTATAACTTGAAGCTTATATACAACATTAATTATTATTAAATTTTGTAACTTAATCTTCTTCTTGATTAAAAAAAAAAATAAAAAAATTTGGAGAATAATAACAAATAGTTCTATTGCAAAGCGATAATTATGTTACATAGTTTTTGATAATTAATATTTATTAGTATTGTGATATAAAATACACTTTGATTAAGAAATTTAATATTGAAGCTTGAATATAAATTTTTGTTTTTTTGATGAAATCATGAAGAAATGGTTGATGAATATGTAATGTTTATCACACATGTCTATCATATCCGTAAAATTTATTTCCGTAATAGGTAAAATGGAAAATGTGTGTATATATACATATGTATACATTATCTTCTCAAATATAGGATATGTATACATAACAAGATTAATATCAAATCAATACTATATAGATTTCAGTAAAATTATGCTGCAAGATAAAATGACTCTTTTTACGAGAGTGAGAGAAACAGAAAGAGTAAGAGATAAAGTTAGTTTATTTGTATTCTTTTCTGAATAACACGTGTATGACTAAACAAAAGAGACTCTATTTTAACAGTAATTGAGTAATGTTTGTATTAAAAACGCCAAGTAACGATCTTATATTATGTTAAGATAATTGTAGATCATAATAATATCAGTATATTTTTAAATAATTTGCATAAGCTGTAATAAAAGTGCATAAGGTGTAATATTTTAAATAAATAAATTTGACATTTTTATTAAATTAAAAATGTCAATTAAGGGTCAGTTGGTTGTAACTGGGGGAAAATGCTTCTACGATCGTGCTTAAAACATCGTAAAGAATTAGACAGATTGATGAATGAGCTGTTTAATTTTGATTCTATTATTTCTCTACAAAAAGACAAATTACAATGAGTGTAAATTCCAGAATTTAAAGATAAATGCATTTGGCCTTAACTCAGCAATTCAATATCCGGTGACTACAGTTCATTAAAATGGATGCTGACGAACGTGCAATTAATACACATTTGTCAAACTTATTAGCATATCGCGTAAGAATGTTTAGTTACAATACTTACCACATATGCTTTACATTGAACATTTTCTTTAGATAAAAGTTTATAAAAATTTAAATAAAGTTTGAATAAACTTTTATAAAAGAATATATGTTATATAAAATGCATTTTCACACACATGTATTTGACAAATAAAAGCATTTAACTCTCTATTAAAAAATAATAATCTTATAATAATCTTATTTTATTATGTAACAGAAAGTAACTTAAATTATTTGTTTTTAATTTATGAAATTTATAAACAATTATATAAATTTATTATAATAAAGGTTGTTTTTTATTGTATAACTATTTTTTCTGAGAATAAATTATACTATCGATGAAAGAGGGTATTTGTAAAGGAAACCGGATAGGATTCATTAAAATCTGCGCAACGGAAAGATAAATATACTTTGACGCAAAAAAAAAGATCGATCGTATTTCTTTAATATGATACGCGTGAAGAAGAAAGTTCCAGTATACGTAACATTATTAATGAAAGAAGAAAAATAATCAAACAATTAAGTAGAAGAAAAAACTAAGAGACAAATTTTTAATATTCGTAAATTGTAAAAATTGCAGAAAAGAATTGTCTAGTACTTCATGAGAGCACAACAGTCACAATCTCAAACTTCTTAAATTAAATTTCCAGGAGCAGCTGTGTCACTACAATCTTATCAAACTTATTCTCCATGTTATTCACAATAAATAAAGCTAGAAATATAAAAATTTAAAATATAAAAAAGCTATATGTATAATAAAAGAATATTAAATAATTGTGTGACATGAAGGAAGATTGATCAGAAAACATTATTTTTTAATAGTTAAGTATCGAAAATGTATGCTAATTTGGGACACTTCTAAATTGTAAAATTCTATATAAAATAAAGCATACATTTTTATTCATAATAATGTTTTTCACCTTTCTTAATTATATATGATTATCAAGAAAAAATAAATTAAACCAAATTTTAAAACAATTACTTAGAAAAAGCTACTTACCATTAAGAGAAAAACGAAGAAGAAATAAAATTTTAATTCAAACTCAATCATTCTCCAAAAATATATATTCCAAGTTAGTCAAATACACAATGCTAGTTCTATGATGTGTTCGCACTTTACCGACCTGCACGAAATATTGCACACTTTCCAGCAGCATCCCGTACATCTTGACGAATGCGCTCACAAATTCGGCTTATTTACTTGATTAGACGTTCGTTAATTAAATAGTATTCCCTCAGTGAATTTATGAAAGCGTATTTTTTCGCAATCTTACAATACGAGTAGATCGAAATTCTTCGCATTATCTTGCTTCATTGTAATCGCGACGTTCGGAAGACAAGTATTTCGCGCCATCAGAATCCCAACCGCGATATCCACTGTCGTTTGAACAATAGACTCCCTCTGATGCAGTGGGAGAGAGGGAAGTCGAATGATGCGCGGCGGATCCAGTTTCGACTGTGGCTTGAGGGTTACTCAACCCAACAAGGATGAGTTGGAGAGATGTACGCGATGCGTGTGCGCAGACTTTATCGTTTGTACAGGCGTTTACACGCCTGCTTCGAAATAAAATTTAACTCGCAATTATTTGTTGCTGATATTATTTACGGTGCAGTTTTACGAGGGTGATTTATTAATTATATAGCTAAAAGATTCTTTTATTAATATTGACATCTCAATACATCACAATAAAACTTTCTAAAATAATTATACATTAAGATACATTGTTTAAGAATATTTATGCTCTTAAATATTATTTAAACATTTCAGAAAATCCTCAAATCTTTTCAATTATGTGTTTATAGTCTAAATTATATAAAGTTTACGCATATAGATACATTTTATTAATATATTCCTTGTTAAGAAAAATCTGTGTGGTTTTGATACTCGCTCAAAATTAGCTACGCGGAGTGTATGAGAGAGATCTTTTGTAACTGAAAGATGGAAAAAGAATTTTTTAGTTTCGGGATATATATCTATATTTATAAAAATGCGGCAATACGATCTAATAATAAGATCTAAATAAGAAGTGATGCCCCAATAAATTTCCTGTCGTACACCCATTATTTCCAGAAAACGGGAATTGATCAAATAATCATTCGTCTTTATTCGCGCATGCGGACTTTTACTTTTTTGTTCTCCGACATGTAGACGCGATATTGTTTTACGTCGTGATTCTTTACACCGTCTCTTGCTCCAATTGTAAGCCTTAATATTCACGATCGTTCGACAAGAGCGAGGATAAGAGTCAAAGAAGATCAATGGCAGACTACATTTGCTCGCTATACTCGTTTCAATTTCGTCACGTTATTCCGAATTCTCCTCGTTGACTATCTAGCTCGGCAGAGTTTTGATATGGGCGTGCGCGTGTCGCGTGACGGAGCTAGAATTCTTACCACGTGTTGGCAAGAGGAATGACGACGCGGCCGAGCGGTAGCCTGCTCGCCGCAACAGAGAGATATTAACACGTCTACAGTCTATACCCGCGTATACGTATACGCGCGCTTCTGTGTCGGCGAATGCGCCGTTAGTCGAACAGTGGGAACGTAAATATGGCCGCGGAGAGTGGCGACGGTTTGCCAATATCCCCGTCCGAGAAATCGCTCACCGGTAGCCTCGCGTCCGACGAAAACGAGAAAAGTGTCTCGCGTTCGCCGTCAAGTTATTCCATACGGGAGGACAAATGGCCCGACCTCGTCGTGTCCAGACCCAGAAAGCTGGACGCCTGGTGGTTGCCGAGACGTGAGTACACAGCCCGATGGTTGCATGGTTCCACGATTCGGCGCGCTTTTCAAAAGTCCGCTGCTCGCGGGCTCAGGCTTTGGCGCCCGCGTGTTAAGCGCGCGTGAACGTACTGTGCGCGCACGTGTCTCGCCATCGTTGCTGTTTCTTTATTGACGATCGTTCTGTGTCAGCTGGAGACGTCATAAAAACTCTTCAGATAACACGTGTTCCAATAATTACGTATAATTTCATTTGGATACATCTGACGATCAAGCTGTAAACGGCTGCACTTTTCCTATTACGAAGATCATAAGCGTCAAAAAATTTTTCTCGTGCGCGATTACATGAGATTATTCATTTATATGTTAAAGGAAAGAGACATGATTTTTATTACATAGTAATATTTTTATGTTATATAAGATTTAGTTTAAGTCACGATGTCAAAAAGTAAGTGCTCTCTAAAGAACGTGATAATAGATTTTTTTTAACGAAAAAGACGGAATAAAGACAAATGGCTTTAATTGAGTCTTGTTGCTCCTACGCGCAAAGTTTTCCATTGTTTCTGAATTCCTTATAATGATTAGTGGATATATAAACGCTATAAATACGTCTCAGCAAGCATGTTAGGAATTTCTGTAAACATTCTAAATTGTTTGGATTTTTTTAGCAGCCCTAATAAATTTTATTCCATGTCTATTTAAGCTGTTGGGAGCAATGCATACTTACAAGTAATGAAACATGTAATATTTTAAAAATAATATAAAATAAAAGCATTGAAACATGATTCGTGACTCCGTATGGAGACGGTCGACCAAATCTGTCAGCCGATTCGATTCCTTCTCACACATATTGGCTTTATAAAAAGTTGATTTAGAGAACTTGAAGATTAGGAATGAAAGAATATGAGATAAATGGTAATTCAATTCGGAAATCTATATTTTATTTTCTTCTTTCTAATATGAAATTAAACGCGATTATATTAACAAATTAACAGATTAAGAATATACAAGTCAATGCAAGCAACAATCATAAATTTATTTTTGATTTATTTTAAATTTATCATAAATTTAAAAAAACATTTATAAATGTTTGCACAATATTCAAACTATAATTCCTAATAAAGCATTTATAATAAATTTGACAGTTTATTAAATTAATTTGGAAAATTTTACTCTGAAGTTTACTAAATATTTATATCAATGCAGTTGCTCAACTTCTGTAATGTCTGTTTATTTTTTTGACACTCTAATTATATCTCGAGCGATAGTGCTTCGCCGGGAGCAGTGATATCGCCTGTACATATAGTATACAATTCTTGACACGTGTACGTCTATCTGCTTGTGATTAATTGTGACCGAATGAAAACAAAGTCATAATCACAATTTGTTGTATTCGTACGTTGATCAACATTTTAATAGAACGTTTAGTGAGACATTTTAATGCTGTTTTTTTTTCTTGTGATTAAATAATTGTGATGTGAAAATGCATGATTAAATTGTTTATACTGTTAAATTTTCTACATAAGAAATCCGTATTTATGGCCACTCCAGTTCTATGTGATGACATAATGAATACATGCTATAATTATTAATTCAAGTGAGATAGTTAAAATAAGGCATTTTACAAACTTACAATATTCATTTATAATCGTGCACGTGACAATATTTATCTTATCGGGATGCCGAAATAAAATTTTGAAACATGGAAACATGCGTTATTTTCTTTTTACTATCCTACTCTTCTCTATGAGAATTTTGTAAATAAATTATATGTTTTTGCTTCGTGCTGCTATACCGGTAAAGCAATACAGAAAAGTGATGGCAGCACCACACGGCAATGCGCAACGGCACCTGTATTGATTATCGTAGATGGAGGCAAAGTCAGCGGGAAAATCAATATCCAAGCACATTTTGCCGGCGCTCTCGTTATTTTCGACGTGAAATTTTCCCCGCTCGACACTCTGCACTCCGATTTCCAAGTTGTTTCTATAAGTGTGCTGATTCCTGGAGCGTGTGTCGCTTTGTGAGCGAATAATTACATCGTCGTGAAGGAACTACGATGTAGTCGCGTTTTAGTGCGCGTTCACCATTTCTTCTTCGCTTGAGCTGAGATTTAATTGTCGTCTCTTCGATACCTGCAGCTTAACTGGAGCAGCATTCCTTATCAAAGAAAGCATCTACTTTTCGTTAATGAGACAAGTAGTGATCGAAGGATAATACCTGAAGAAATAAAACAAGTAACAGGAGGAGGGGAGCGACACAACTATCATACGCAGATTTCTACGTTGTTGCCAACAACGTAAAGTCTGATTGCGATATATCGTTACTCACTGGTGACTCATCCATTGCGACACATTTTTCTCACAGCTGATCGATGTAACAGAAAGAAGAAGATACTTTACTATACGGTATTGAGCAAGTTATTTTACAAACTAACAGACACATATAGACTAAAAAATATATATATTGAAAGAACAAATCGACGCATATTAATTGTGATCAACTCGTTATTTTTTAATAACGGGAAAAGCATTTAATTCGAATAAACGAGCTACTCCAATCTACAAAGATTATTGCAGAATTATTGAAGAAAAGTCTATGCAAATCAAGAGTCTAGTGAACGATCGTTGAAAGATATCGCATAAATCTACGATTGAGATAGAGACGGCAGAAGAATCGTCTTCTATGCGGCAGGAATCCCTGACTGGTCTGAAATTGCGGCCGCCGGGCGATCACGGTGGTGTACATCACGGCGGGGTCATGCTGGAGGAAGATATGGCTGGTGCTCAGGACACAATATATCTGTGCAATTTTCGAGTGTCGGTAGATGGCGAGTGGCTCTGTCTGAAGGAGCTTCAGGATGTCGAATTCTCGCTCCAGGATTCGATGCAGCGGTCACCCTCACCGCCGCTCGCTCTCAGTGGTATTAATCATCATCATGATCACCGTCATCACCATCATCATCATCTGCAACAGCTTCCCGAGCAGCGAGAGCTTCGCGATATTATGCCACCATCAAGTCCACCGCCATTGCAGCACGTCTCCAGCTTGTGTCCGTACTGGATGTTACTGCACTCACCCGCATTTTAATTGGCGGAATATATTCGGAGATATATTTGAATCAGTTTTCTCTTTTTTTTTCGCTCAGCAAGATTCAACTGTGTTATTATAACATTTGTCTCGTTTACGAAACAAGTACCTATCGCTTTTCTTGCTCATAATGGAAAACAAAGTTTCTTCCTCTTTGTCACGCTTTAGCGTGGGCGCTTTGGTTGGAATGCATTTCTTCGATAGCGAAACCGTTGCAATTCTTCGGCTTACGGTTGCACTTTTTTATTTATTTATACTTTTCGTTTATTTTAGAAAGTATAAAATTATGAAATTGACGCATACTGTGCTACGCAATTCATTCATTCTCATTGTTTAAGTTTTAATATGATCTTTAAGGATATTTTCATATTCAGGACTGGACACTTGCTACTGAATTTGAAATCATTAGTTTAAGTATTGACGAGGGGAAAAAAGAATTAATCGAGATTATACCGCAAGTCAGAACAGACGTATTGTTTTTGCAGCACGAGATCCGGTGATCATCGAGAGGAGTAATCTCGTTAACATTTCGAAACTAATCGTCAAGGAGCTGATTGAAACATCTTTGAAATATGGTCGTATGCTCGATTCCGATCATATGCCGTTGCAACATTTTTTCATCG